ATTACAGTGGGTATAATATAAAACCATGATATGTACAGTAAGGGGAAAGTACATCAAGAGAAAGGGCAAAGAATGACAGGGAGTGCTGGATTTTCCAAAATAGGCCTCTGTGACTTGACAAATGCGTTAAGAAAATTTAAAAAGTCATTGCTGTCCAATTGGAACCGACTCACAGCTGACCTTCTATAGAGTATTTGGAGGCTGTAAACCACACATAACGAGATTGCCCAACTTTGTCCCACAGAGTGCTAATGCATTTGAACCTGAGAGATGGCATCCCAGGTCCCTACTAACTCCACCACTGGAGATCCCTGACAACTCAGTCCTTGATAAAAATAGGAACAAAGCCATGTGCATATCTGGAGAAACAGCATTCCAGGCAGAATGAATAGCACCCGCTGCAAAGCTCTGAGACAAAACTGTACCTGGCGTGTTTGGGACCAGCAAGGACACCAATGTGGCTGGAGCTAAAGGAGAAGGGACAAAATGAGGTCCAAGAGATGACTAGGCAGCTGAGCTTATAGGAGTTTATAGCCAAATTAAGGCCTTTAGATTTTAATTTGCTAAAGATAGGAAGAGAGAAGGTGTGCTGACTATAGAGGGAGCTCCCTAGGTGTTCCACAGGATGGATGAAAATGCATCTGAGAGTGAAGTCCATGTTTTCTGGGTGAGAGTAATTTATTTATTCATCAAATGTATACTCATGATAGGACAGGAACTAACACATACAAAGGAATAAAAAATTCCCAAAGGAGCATATATTTTCCTAAGGAAGGCATCCATGAAAAATGTGATACAGTGTGCAAAAACTATTCACGGATGCCACACCTTACCCTGATAGTTTGGCTTCACCTATTTTAGTTGTTTTTCTCCCCTCCCCCCCCCCATCATCTCTGAAATGTCTACTTATGTCTTGTCCTCCATCTGTCTTGGACTGTAGCATTATCTTCTGTGGTAGCACATACTTTCCAACTGCCTAACTATGCTTCATCTCCTCGGCATAGATCATTCATTCTTTAAAATGTAAATATTTAATACGAATACAACTACTTAGAATGTATAAGTTATAAAAGATGATACAATCTACGTGCATGATTACAAAAACAAGAAGGAAAACTTCATTACCAATATAATTATGTTCTCTTTTCTCCCACAGAATATTATTTGCTTGATTTTAGTTTCTTAACTTTTCCATTTTGTTTTGTTTATTGTCTAGATTTTCCAGTTTTTGAACTTTATATAAATGGATTTTTTATTTGTATTCTACAGTTTCTTTGCCCAACCATGTTTACGGGCCTTACAGCATTCGATTCCGGCAAATCCTGAATGAGATTCTTCTATTTTCTTGACAAGTTTTCTTTGATTTTTATTACTACAGAAAGTGCTGCTTTGGATATTCTTGCACATGTCTGTTTGTTCGCACATGTTTCTTCCATTTTAGTTGTTCCCTAACTTTTGAATCACCTGCAAGTGTACCCAACGTTGTTAGCACACAGATTACTGAGCGCAGAGGTGGTAGTTGATATTGTTTGCTTTTGGCTAGTTCACACATGCTTCTTTCATTTTAGTTGTTCCCTAACTTTTGAGTCACCTGCAAGTGTACACGAGATTGTTAGCACACAGATTAGCTCAGAGGTGGGAGTTGCTGTTGTTTGATTTTGATTCAGAACCAATTAATAGCTGACCCTCCCATGGGTTTTCAGAGGTAGTCAATCACACAGGAGGAAATTGTCCATCCTTCTCTCTGGACCATCTGCTGAATTCAGACCATGTGCCTTTGGGATTGCAGCACAGCTGCTTACCACTAAGCCACCACAGTTCCCTGAGCTCAAGAGTTAGATCTGAGAATTTGCATTTCTGACAAATTACAGGGTGATGGTGCCGCTGCAGCTTCTTAGGGAACCACACTTTGAAAACCTCTGCTCTTAGATGTGCCAGGTCTTAGGGTGTGTGCTTCCTCAGCTTGGTTGGACTAGGTGTATAGGCCCCTTGACACCCATGATTGAATTCTTGGTTTACCTAACTTTTCCACTTTGAAAACTCAGTGCCATCTAGTTGTAACTGACTAATAGCTAAAGCTCCATTGGGTTTCCCAGAGCAAGAATCACAGGAAGATAATGCCCATCTTTCTCCTGCAGAACTTGATCTCTTGGTGAATTAAAATTGCTGCTGGTGGATTCAAATTGCAAGAGACACGCAGCCTTTAGGTTGGCTGGAGAACTCCTTTCCTTCTACATTGTCAGCTAGTAAATGTAAAAATAGTCTCTTACTGAAGTTTTAATTTGAATTCCTCTTATTACTTATAGAGTTGACCATTTATTAGCTGTATTTTTTTTCCTTCTCTCTAAAATTCCTTTTGATGTCTTTTGTTTATTTTTCTTTTGCTATGCACTATATTCTTAGGTACCTGACTCAGTGGCACATAGCAATGACAGATATGTTCTTATGTTAGCATACTTGACAACCAAAATTTTTTATTGGTGCTTTTATTTTCATTTTATGTATTAAAATAATTAAGGTACACGAAAATTAAGGTTAGAAAAATGTGTTGGTCCAACTGAGAAAATAAGACTTTTATCTCCATTCTTGCCAAATGCTTTTAGAGTGATAAGTTTAAAGATTTAACTAAGTTGTATTTATGGAGTATCAGAAAAGTCTGGGAGGAAGTCATGTAAACTTTAAGGGTAAACTGGTCGTTCTTACTTGGATATTACATGTACCCTTAGATTGCTTGTCAGAGGTTTTCAAAATAGTGCGGGACAGGGCAAAGTTGTGATCTATTGTTTATGGAGTTGCTATGAGTCGTAGTCACATCAGGCCCCTAACAACAATAACTCTTTGCTGATGAAATATATTGGTTGACTACCTTTCTCCATAATGAATTGAGATATAAACAAAATTTCAGGAAAGGGTATTTATGTGACTGTCCAAAATGAAGATAGAATGTGTGTGCTTTAATGGCGTTCTAGTAAAGATTGCTGAGAACATATATTGCAGTCCTACTTTTTCGTTTTTAATCATCCTTCTCCTCTGGCTGTTAGGCTGTTTCCTTCTGTGAGGTTGAAGAATAGAATGCCTCTGAGCTTTTTCCCTTTTAAAGTACACGCCCAAACATTGTTTGTATAATACAATGCAAAGGAAGCTTGTTTGTGTGAGACACTTAGTTATGTATTCTGTTACTGTACCTCAGATCCCTGGAGGGACATTAATATGGCATTACTTTACTTTCAATCATGTTACTCAGCACTCATTTATTAATAGCAAACAAAGGAGCTATGCCCATTGAACAGGTGACTATTCTGGCTATTTCTGCATTATTTTGAAATAAAACTTTGGAAGGCAATGCACCTTTATTCTTTAAAGACTATTCTAAGTTACATTTCTTTGGTTATTGCTTTTTATAATATTTTTTTCTTTAGTATACTGCATCTTACAATGAATTTTATGCAATTTGCTTATTTTATATGTGTTAATAAAAATGAGAACTCAGTTTGAAGAATATGGAAAAAGAATCAGAAAATCTGTTTTAAAGTAGTAATATTTATGATAATGAAAATTGTTCATATTCTTATAAATGCTACTCTGATATTTATAGCATTTACTTCTTTTATTAAAGCCTAATTATTTGCATTTCACAATGTCATAGATGAGAATTATGTTACAGAAACTTGAGTTGTATAATTAAGCCCTTCAAGAACATTGAGATAGATGTGTGTTCAGACAGAACAGCATCTGTAATTTTAGACAAAAGAGAAATAATTATTATGTAGAGGCCCTAAGAAAGAATGAGGTATTATTTGAGTTAGGACATGAAAATTGAAAGATATTTATAAAAGGAATTAAAAAAAAAAAGAAATACAGGCAGTGAGCTTTTTAGTTGAGTCGGGAGAAACATCTAGCAGGGTGCAGAGTTCTGGAAATTTAGCTAGATCCCTAGATTGGTGTCTTATTGTAGAAAGACAATCTGTACCCGTTGTCGTCACATTGAGCCTAAGTTTCTGAGGCTGTGAATCTTGACAGCAGCGGACTGTCTCATCTTTTCTTCTTAGAGGCGCTGGTGAATTTGAACCAGCAACATTGGCAATAAGTTTCAAGAGATGAACCCAGACAAGTGTTGCCAAGTTAACACTGATTCATGAGACTCATGTATCTAATAGTATTTCTATAGCTGTTTTATTTGTTCTATGTTAGAATTAGATCACCAGGCTTTTCCCTCTAGCTACTTCTAGGTGAACCTGAACTGCCAGTGTCTCAAGGAACTGCTGAATGCATTAGCTCTTTGAAGTACCAGGGACTTCTATCAGTGAAATTTTGAAGGAAAACTTGATAGGCTATGGAGACAGTGGGGGCCTAATTTTTAAGACAAGTGAACGAAGTGGCAAATTTCAACTTGCAATGCCTTCTTCAGAAGAGTGGTGTGTGTATGTACATGTGTGCTTGCACGTTACATGTGGGCTCACAAGTGCATGTGCACACACACAGGTCTAATTAAGTAGGAAAACAGATTTCCTTTATCCTCACCTCTAATTCCTACTTCTTTTGTCAGTGTATGTTAGATAAACACACTGAGGAGGGGGTGCCTTTCTGTAACTTATTTTTATGTCCCCCATGAGATCAGCTTTTATTTAACTCCCTTCCTCTTCTGTGGGCTTGTTACACTTCTAAAGAGGAAAGCTTACAGGCATTTGGCACTCCAGCTGGGCTTGGAGCTCTGAACGTCGCTAAGGGGCAAGTCTTTGAAAACAAAACAAAACAGGAATTGTTCTGATTCTTTCTCAATCAGTAATACTTCATTTTATCAACACAACTCCTTAGAAAAATTCTGGTTTTTAAAAAATGGTGAGTTTTTAAATTAGAAACAGTACTTCCTTTATGTTGTTATGATGAAGAAATTTGAACAATAAGAATAACTATTAACTGCTTGTCCGGCGTGTTGACATATTAGGCTGTATGACTGCAGATTATTTCAGAGCTAATTTTTGCTCCCCCACCCTCTCCAGGATTGCAGCATTCCAGAGATAGAACTTTGTCCCCGGGCTGAGCCAGCATGTTGTCCTATCTACATACAGAGAGCAGTCCCCAATTTGGAAGAACTGAATATCCCCAAAACTGTGTCTTTCACTGTGAAGTCAGGAGTGTACGTATCAGTTTCTCTTTTTCATAGTGATTGATAATCACCATAGTTCCCTTTTCCATTTCTTAGTAGATGACATAAGTATTTCTCAAATTCTTTTTTTTTCTTTTTCTTCTATAATTATATTTTATTAATTTTCATAAACATTTACAGAGATTTTGGGCTTCCACTCATTCATTGTTGCACTATTCTCTCTACCCTCCTCCCAGTTTGTTCTTGTCCAAATGCCACAGTGCTTGTCAAAGCCAGTTCTGATTAATCTTCTTTGTCAGTGTATCCTTTGCCATTCCCTATCACTCCTCCCTGAGAGAGACTTCACCCTGAGTCATAAGGAAAAGGGGACGGTGTATTCTCTTAGCTACTTCCTGCTGAAAAGGGACGCTGTGGGTTTCAGGGTGAAGATCTTCTCTCACTACACTAAAGGGCCCCTTTGGCAGTAGGAAACACATAGACTATTATGGAGATTGATTTTGGAATTCAGATGCACTCTTATTGATTGTGCTTGGCTGTACATGTACATATCCTTCAAGATGTATCATGGGGGTGTTGCAACCTAGAAGACACAAATTTGACTAACAAGTTATAAGTACATGAGTCCAAAAATTATGGAAAAGTAAAAGAAAAGATTCTTTCATTGTTTTACAAACCCTCCCCCAGGTCCCCTCCACCATGCAGCAGCCCTCGCTCTAGTCTCCTGTGATGACAGAAATACCCAGTTACATCTCTCTTTCAGACGGTTCTCTCCCTCCTCTGCTTCAGTGCAGTATACATTATTGAACCCATCTTACTCAGTGTCTCCCCAACCCCAAGGACAGTCCCATTCTACAACAGTGGCATCATGTAATATTTGTCCTTTTGTGACTGGGATATTTCACTCAGCATAATGTTCTCCAGAGATTTGTTAATTTTATTTAGAAGCCTGAAGAGCTGGGAAAGATGTGTTTCAGGGATTAAAAAGGCTTCTCTTGTTCTTTGAGTCAAATTAGGGTTTTGTTGTATGACTCATGGGAACAGGTATAAAATTCTAAGATGTAGGTGCATCTAACCACTGTTTATCTTTCACATTTTGGGACCAAGAGAAAAAAAAAGCATACCCGTGGCCTAGAATTCTGAACCTTGTACTATTTCTAGAGCTGCTAAGTGCTACCAGTTTTGTGTTTATTATCCCTCTGTTCCTGCAAAGCAGGTAGTGTTACTCTTATGATATAAATAAGATAAATTCAATGATTTGCCACAGTCTACCAGTTAGTAAGAAAGTGATTTGATCCTGGGCCTCTTGATTCCAAATGAATCTTTAAGACTGTGTATCTAATTCAGCACAGTCTTGGTTTAGTTCCCAAGTGACTTAAACCCCAAAAGGTCACAAAAATGTGAATGATTGAGTCATTAGAGTCTTCTCTCTTTCACTGTTTTCTTCTGCTCTGATGGTTGATGTTGGACTTTTTGGTCACTGTCAGATATCTTTATCTTCCCAATCATGGATTAGAAATCCACGGGGAGTAGGAGTATTTGACCCTGTTAATGAGAAATGTTTTTAATAATCAAGTTCCGCTGAAAGCTGGAACAGTATTTGGAGATTGTTATTTCAAATACTCTTTTCTATAGCAACCAGTGGAATTTACTTTAATCCTAAAAATATGGGTCAAAGATTTAAAATGCCTAAAGGGAGCACTAGTAGCTTGGTGATAAGAAGCTGTACTGCAATCCCAAAGGTATACAGTTCAGATCCACCAGCTACCTAATGGGAGAAAAATTGGCAATCCCCTGCTTGCCGTTTACTGCCTCAGTTCCAATGCTACACACACACAGCAACAGTGGAGCCCCTACCTCTGATTGTCATGTTACAGAAAAGAGTGGAAAGTAGTAGAGTTTTTGAACATTAGGAAATTCTAAGAACAGAACAGTAATGCCTAGACCTTAGAAAATATACTTCACTTACAAGATAGATATTTTTTGTTGTAAGTACTTAATAGCATGCCCACTCTTGGCTAAGTCATTTTGAATTGTATTTTACTAGTATAATTCTGTGTATGGTGTTTTGGGGTAGTGGTCAGTGGTGGTTAGTATTTTTGTTAAGACAGAATCGATGCATAGCTAACCCCCCGTGGCTCTTCAGAGGCAGTAAATGGCACAGGAGGAGATTGCCCCTTTTTCCCTCCCCCTGCAGAGCAGCTGGTGGATTTGAACTGCGTGTATTTAGGTTGACAATACAACTCATTTTTCTTTAATTTCAGCTCTTAGATGATTAGATTTAAAAATTGCTGTTATACTTTAACTAACTATTTCTTACTTACTTAGTTGGCTTGCCTACCCAGATGTTAATTTTAAGGGGCAAGCTACAATTTTGGAAGAAGACCATGGACTCTTTGAGATTTCTTCAACTGAAATGAAATCATTGCATCCACTTCAAATGGTAAGCAAATTTAGGAATGAAAGATTCCAAATACAAGAGTGTTTCAAGTACCCATAAACCCCAAATTATACACACACACACACACACACACACACACACACATGACTAGATTGGCAAGCTATTTATGCATTTTTTTCCCCATTTATTTACACTGTGGAGACTACCTGTAAGTATTTCTATGTTTAACCATGTAGAGAAGAATCTGTTTCATTTTCTGTATTCTTCCATCATAGTACTTACAGACTTCCCTTCCAATTATGGTTCTTTAGAAATTTTAGATCCTGAATTCTGTATTTCCTCATGTGTGTTGTAAAACTGGTTATAGTAAATGATAGACTTCCATTGCGCTGATGAATTATCAACTCAGCATCAATAGTAGACAGTTCTATCAGTTTTCATTTTCTTCATGATAATCGGTACTTTTAGTATTTTTCCCTTGTTGTGTTGCTTTTTTTAAAAAAAAACTTTGAAATGCTAACTATTATTTAGTGTGATATCTTATCTGGAGGTATATAACAGGAATGCCACAAAGGAACAGCTTTAACAAACAAAAATTTATTTGATCAAAGATTTGGAGGCTAAAGATGATTTTCTCTCTGTCAGCTTTGGAGGAAGGTCTTTATTTCTTTTGAACTAGCCTTCATGTCACGTGGAGACTCTTTTCTCCAATCTCTGCTTTCCAAATGTTTGTTTAGTCTCTTTCATATCTCAGAAGATATTTACTTACGATGCGTCCTATACTAATCCCGTCTCATTACCATAACGGGATTTATTCTTTAATAAGATTATAACTCCAGGCATAGAGGTTAGGATTTATAGCATATTTTGGGGGAACATGATCCATAACATTTCATCCTTTGATGTGAAAATTCATGTTCCTGCCACATGCAAAACTCATTTTACCCTATCATATCCCAAGTCTCTGAAACTTCAAGTCTAAAGTCTCATCTTCTGAATCATCTCAATCAAATATGAATGAGACACTAGGGCTATTTCATTCTAGGTAGAGTTACTTCTCATTCTATGACTCCATGAATTATAGGATACAAATTCTGTTTTCAAAATGTAATCCTTCTCTCTTATAATAGGATAAGTTCTCTAAAAGAGCAAAACTAGTGAATATAAATGTGTAATGTTCATTCACTCCCAAACCCACAGATAATAAATTAGGTCTAGCCCATCATGGCCTTCCATTAGATTTCCAAGGCTACACATTTTAATTGGACGGGGAAGGACTATACATGTAGAGCAGATGAATGACTCTAACTGCCTGCCTTTTGGTTAGCAGCCAGCAAATTACACATTTACTCTCACTCTTGCGCTGCAATCAGGGAGCTCTGGTGGCTTAGTGGTTAAGACTTTGGCTATGAACCCAAAGACATGCAGTTTAGAGCCACCAGCTGCTTTGCAGGAGAAAGATAGGCAGTCTCCTTCCATGACATTTAGAAATGTGCTAGAGGATCAGCTGTGAGTTAGTTCTGACTCAACAGCACATAAAAACAACAACATTACCATCAAGTCAAGACTCACTAAAAGCGGACCCCCCAATGGTTTTCTAAGGCTCTTAATCAAATTGCCTATCTTTTTCTCACAGAGCCACCAGAGAAATGCAACCTGTGGCTTAGCAGTGCAACTCCATGTGGACTCTGCACATCAGAATTCCCAGTATGATATAGGGAGAGACTTACTTTAAGGAAATGACTAACAAAGCTAAAGGCTGGCAAGTTCCAAATCCATGGGTCAGATGTCATACTGGAGGCTTCATCTGACTCAAATGGCTGCAGGCACTGAGAAATCCAAAACTGGCAGTTCAGGCAGAAGGCTACTATTTATGGAGTTGCATAAACTAGCAAATCCCAAAATATGCAGATCAGGTGGCACATTACTGACTCATACCCCAAGAACAAGCACCAGAGGATGATAAATTGAGGTCAATATTGAGAGACAGTGAACTTTGCTAGAACATCATATGTTGGATGTAAGCCACACCTTCAGAGAAACTCCCCTTTCTACTTACTGTCTGACTGCTCACATGAGATTACGGAGTAGAGGATGCCTGCGCAGCGTGTGGTGTGTCAAGTCACTGAGAATCGTGGCCTGCTCAAGTTAAGAACCTCACATATGATAAACTACACCCTTGAACAAAGTATAAATAAAGAAAAATTAGAAAAATTTAAGAAATACCACAGTGGAAAATAGTATTTAAAGAAAGAAATGATAGAATTAAAGTTTCTGTGAGAATAGGCTCCTATTCTTAGGCTCTACAATTTCAAAATTTCAGAGACATCCATTATGATTAAAAAAAATATTGGTAAAGGTTGGAAGGGTGATTAACTTTGTATTTATTTTTCTGCAGTGTAGAATAACATTTGCTAATTGATTTAGAACTCTGCCCTGTCAAAAATGAGGTTTCTAAATCTGCTAGAAAATCTACTCTTTTTTTTTTTTAGGACACTTAAAATGAGATTAAGTATTTTATTGATTATTTATACTCTAGCACTAAACCTTAATTTCCTTTCTTATATTAGTTGTAAGCTGGAAAAAATAATCGTCTGTGATTTATTACTATCTTACATTCATGTTCATGTTTGATTCTATAGTACTGTACTTGAAACTTAAATTTGGTATGTAATTGTCACTAATGTTATTTTTATGGCTTATACATTGAACTTAGTTACTTTCAAATATTTTAATAGTTTTGTATCTTAAAGCATTTTAATATTTAAATATCTAATATTAACATTTCTTGGTTTCTCAAGGGTGGACTGAAAGTGGAAATGCCTATGAACCTAAAGGTAAGTAAATCTTAAACAGACTTTGTGGTAGACTAAAATTTTTTACTAATAATTTTTAGATATTTAACCATTAAAAGAAATGTACACATACACCCCTAACTGTGTGGAAATGACACCTACTCATGGACAGTGGGGTAGTGAGAAGTAATTGCACAAAGTGGTTTATAAGGGCAGATTCTCCGTATGGAAAGTTGGATGTCTGTATGGACAAGCCAGGCAAACCTGGGTTCGAGAAAGAGAGGAAGACCCTCAGTGAGATGGATTGACACAGTAACTGCCACAGTAGGTGTGAGTATGACAGAGAGCATGATGGTGCAGGATAGATAGGGCAAGGTTCAGATCTTTTGTTCATCGAGTTGCTATGAATTATGGGTGACTTGATAGCACCTAACAGTAAAAACCACAAAGGAGCTCAAGCATGTCAGGGTGGTGAGAATGGCACAGGATAGGGGATGGGGCGCCATGTTGTTTTCATTGGATCCCAATGAGTCATAGTCAACTCCATAGCACATAATGACAACAGAAAGAGGAATGATAATAGATTTGGCTTTTATCTTGTTGGACCCGAGGTGATAAAGAGCCATAGAGACACTTCTCAGTGTGGTGATATCCATGAATCACTTAATTGATATCCAGGAAGAAGATCAAGCAAGGCTGAGCAAAAAGAGATACTGGTAGCTGTTATCTGATAGACTGTAAATATGAGTATCTTGGTCAGACATTCTTCTAAGTGGTATAGCAATTGATCTGTCGATTTGCTGTACAGAGGTAACTCTAGTTACTGTGATTCTGAATACTGTGACCCTACTGTGTCATATGTGATAATGGTCACCCATGGTGGACAGTGTTTGGTGGAGCTCTCCGATGAAAATAAGCTTGGAAGCAGGAGTGGAATCCACTTCTGAAATAGCTTGCCTCCGGAAACCTTATGAACTTGGAGAAACAATGAAAGTTATACAAGTGTTCAGGTCTTTTGTTCATAGGTTCCCTATGAGTCGCCTATGACTTTACGACACTTAACAACAACATAGGGAAGAGTACACCTAATAAAAAGTAGAGTAAAGGCAGTCATGCACATTTTAGGAAAGAAAGGAAAAAATAGAATTGGTAAATGTGTGTGAATGGATTAGAAGATATAGCTCCCCCAACCCTCTTATTTCTGCAATTTTTTTTTTAAATTTATGGATTTGAATGCTGATCACAAGTTGAGACTTAAAAACTTGCATATGTAAAGTACTATACCTTGGTTATATGTTGGAATCATGTGTAACTGTTGTTGTTGTGTACTTTTGAGTTGGAATTGACCTATAGTTGACCATCCAGCGGGTTTTCAGAGGTAGTTAATGTCACGGGAGATTGGACATCCATCTTTAAAGCATCCGATGGATTCGAACTGAATGTCTTTGGGATTGCAGTACAGTTTCTTACCACTAGGCTACCAGAATTCCCTCATATGTAACTAAATGTTAAAAACTATTCAGGCCTGAATTCAGCTCCCAGAAATAATACTGTGATCTGGAGTTGCCCTAAGTTAAGTCAGAACTTTTTTTAGTTTCCCAACATGCAGCCAACGTTGAGGACTACTGATTTAATAGATAAAGAATCAGCTGTAACACTCCCTGGACAACTCTTGTATTAGTCACTCCTGATTCAGTCTCCTTGTTTGCTGTCTAAGCAAGAGGTCTCTCCTGCTCTTTGCATTCTTACTGACTGTACAATGTACAACAGACTGAGACAGCCTTAGACATTTGCAGTTTGGTTGGTTATAGATGCATTATGTATGGAATAGTTGCCATAGCTAATCACAATTTTGAAGTTGTTAGACTTCTGGCTTAGAGAATATTTGTCTCTCTACTTAATTTTACTATCTCCAGAATATGTATTGGGCACAAGGCTCAGATAGAACCTGTTAATTAGAATACAACACGTAGTGAAAACCTAATATACTGAAATCAGCAAGAGGAGTGCAATATATTTATTTTGGTCTGGATAATCTTTTAGTGATTTTTCTTGAATAAAGACCTTAAAGTTTATTGTGCCAGTATGTTTAAGCATGGAGTGTTTTTGTCTAGGTTATGGGTTGTCAGTTGTGCACAGATTAGGTCACTAACCGCAGTTAGGACAAGGTGAAAGAATGTGGATAGGTTAGCACTATTATGGTGGTTATCACTTCCTCGCAACAGGCAGTGAGTGCAACAGTGGCCTCAAGTGGGTCAGAGATGATGAGGACGGCACAGGAGAGAAAGGATTCAGATCTGTTCATTGGTTCACAGTGAGTCATACTTGATTCAGTAGCACCTAACACCACCACCACCACCACCACCACCATAAAGGCAGCTTATATTTGGAAAGTATAGAGCAGCAAAATAGAAGTGAAATACCTTTACTAATCCAAATTGAGGTACACGAAATTGACAGTTTATTGAGCTACTTGTTTTCAATAAGTTTCCTAGTCAAGAATTTGAGTGTCTCTTTTTTCTCAAGGAATAGTAACTTCCACAGAAACAGGATAACAAGAAACTATGTGTGTTTTCTTAACTCAGGAGGTAGGTGACACATTGTTAGAGCTTAGAAACTCAAGAGACATTTTCTTAAGAGAAGAGATGCAGTGAATTAAAGACAACTCTATATTAAGTTCCAAATATGTGGATGAACTTATAAAGGTAATTCAAAAGCAAGTTCTAAGACCCTATGAGGTAGTCCTGGGATTTGGCAAGCAGAAAATAAAGATTCAAAGATTCTTCTTAGTATATTGTATGAGAATATTGGGCTGAATTTCAACTGTGCATTAATGGGGCAAAACAATTAACCCTATTCATGATGCGGTCTTCATGAGTTGGTCTTCAGGAAATCAGTATGCATCTCTTATAAAATACGAGTTCATGAAGTAATGATCTTTCCTATTTTTCAGGTTATTATTTATGAAAAACCCCACTTTTTTGGACAGGCCAAAGATTTTAGTGAACATATAGATTCTGTCCCTAATTTTTTAAAAAATGATGAAGGTTTTCATGGAATTGGATCAATTCGTGTCATTGGTGGTGTGTGAGTATCATTTTGAATATTTAATAACCTATTTTTTAAAAAAATAATATACTTGTACTTAAAAATGCACTAAGTAGAGCAAAACAATGTAGCTTAAACATATGCAACCTTAGGTAACATGTACCCCCTTTTGAAAAAAAATCAACAAAAACCAACAAGCAGTCCCACTGCTTTTGAGTCAGTTCTGACTCATAGTGACTGTGTGGGACAGAGTAGAACTCCCCATTGGGTTTCCTAGGATGTAACCATTAATGGAAGACCACCTCATCCTTCCCTGTTGGAGCAGTTTGTAGTTTTGTGGTTTTGAAGCACCATTTTTTTTGTTGTTGTTAGAAACCTACTTACTTATTATGCCACCAGAGCTCCTTAGTACATATAAGAGGAGGTGAAAATATTTTCAGTCATGACTTTCTGAAAACTCTTGTTCATGTCAGAGATATGTTAAATGTAGAAAATCATTTCCAAAACCTCCACACTCGGAATTTCTAAGCATGCTAAAGAGGGCAAAAAATGCAATATTTGTCCTTTTGTGACTGAGATATTTCACTCAGCATAATGTCCTGTAGGGTCATCCATTTTGAATAATACTTCATGTGTTCCTTGTTTTTCAATGCAGTGTAGTATTCCATTGTGTGAATATACCACAGCTTCTCTATCCATTCATTTGTTGATGGGCATTTAGGTTGTTTCTAACTCTTTGCTATTGTGAACAAAGCTGCAATAAACATGGTGGTGCATATATCTGCTTGGGTGGCGGTTATGGTTTCTTTGGGTTATATTCCAAGTATGGAATTGCTGGGTCAAAAGGTATTTCTATTTGCAATTTTTTGAGTAAGTGCCATACTGCCTTGTATAGTGGTTGCACCATTTTGCATTCTCACCAACAGTGAATAAGGGTTCCAGTTCTCCACAACCTCACCAGAATTTGTTGTTTGCTGTTCTTTTAAATTGTGCTACTCTTACTGGGGTGAGTTGATACCATTGTTACGGCTACTGTGTCAGATAACCTTGGCAGCTGTGGTAAAATTAGGTCAATACCCCCTTCCTATAACCCTGTCAGTTCATTGCTGGGAAGCTCGTGACCTCTTCAGGGAGAGGGTGGGGGAGGGTGACTGCAGAAGAAGAAGACAAGTAAGGGAGGGATGGACGCCTGGGTGATGGCAGCTGGCCCTGTAGAGGTCTCTGTGGTGTCCCCATCTTCTCTGCAGGATCATCTTTCCTAAAGCCCAGGTCCTCAAGCCCACATAAGTAGGGGTCTGTACCATACTTGGTGGGTCACTGCTGCCATCTCCCCCCAAAAGTGTGGGAGTAAAGAGGGGAGGAACTGATCCTGCAGACTGGCCACCACCTACACCTGTATCACATCCCCATTCTACATCGGGGGAGGGGGGGTGGGACAGCGGCTGGGAGCTAAAGGCCCTGCAGCTGGTAATGGGCAGTCTCATAGTTGTTTTGATTTGCATCTCTCTTGGAGCTAGGGATTTTGAACATTTCTTCATGTGTTTGTTGGCCATCTGAGTGTCTTCTTTGGTGAAGTGTCTGTTCATATCCTGTGCCCATTTTTCAATTGGATTGTTTATCTTTCAGGGTTGGGGGAAGACTGAGAAAGATGGAATAAATAATGTATACTGCATTGAAACAGATGAGGGAGAAAACTGTTTAAAACGGATATGTGATTAGGTATTATTGTCATGACAGGAGTCCAGAACGAAGGTTGCATAGTTGGGTGGACCTGGGGGGAGGGATTGTATAGCAATGAAAGAATATTTCTTTTTCTTTTCAAAGAGAAGTGTTGACTGGGGGGGAGGGAGGGATGGGCAGGGAGAAAAGTGCAACAATGAATGAATGGAAATTGAAAAAAAAGAATATGTTCATAGACTATGAACATGAATAGAGAGGTCTTTATGCCTTAGTGGTTAAAGAATTCTAATATCAACCCCAGGGCAAGTGGTTCAAATCCACCAGCTAGCTGCTCTGGAGGAGAAAGATGGGCAGTAGCCTCTCATGCAGTTTACAGCCTCCACCCCCTGGAGAGTTAGCTAAGTGTTGGCTGTGACTCAACAGCATTTAACAACTAACAAGAATAAACCTTCAGTTTCAGCTTGCTTGTGCAAAGGACCATAGCATCAAGACCTCATGAATTAAAGAAGTAGTCTACACTCTATATTTCCAAAACTGAGGACCATTGTTTGGACTGTTACTCTGAATTGCTCTTGATTCTATATGTGTAAATCCAAGTATAATTTCCATTAAGACAAACCTTTAAGACCTCTGTCAGTAGTTAATGAGGCAGAAGCTCAGAAAAATCTGGAAACCAGGCTGGTATGTGCTTTCATATCCTTATCCTGGAAGGTGAAATTAGAGAGAAGTAGCATTTTTTATAGCTTTATTTATCATTGTGAATCCAGTGTTGGAATACTTCCAGGTACATTTTGTTTTCTCTCTGATGTTATGTTGGTTTATATAGACTGTTGGTTTAATATAAGCATCCTTGTCTCCTGACAGTTGTTTTAACATTCTATAAATTATTCATGCTTATCTAGCAAAAGATTGGCCGAAACATTCTTACAAGTTAAATGACTTGTTAAAGCTTACTTACTGGTGTGTACACCCACTCCTTCCACAGTTAGGTTCTCAAGATAGGTCATTATGGGGAAAAAAACAAGCAAACAAACCCAAAACCCAACCCTGTGTTATGCTTAACTTTAGTGACTTAATGCTCTTCAGACTCTAGGTGTTATTTCAAAGTGAATCCCTCCCCTGCAACCACTGTCGGGCAGGCTGCCTTATCTCAGTGTTGTTGCTTCTGTTCCTTGGATGAGTGAATTTTTTTGTGCTGTTTCGAATCATAGGCAAAGCTGATTGGCCAGGGTTTGCATCCAGTAGGAGATCTGTGTCATCCACCTAGTGCTACCTGCTGGACCTAAAGCCCTCGCACATACAAATCAGATACTTGAGTCTGTAGAAAAATGATGGCCACTCATCCTATCTGCACCTTGCTGCCACCTTCTCTCAGCCTGAAGCTAAGACTCTGCTACTAGCTTTAAACCTTGGAGCACACGTGGATTTTAATGGCATGAGGACCCAGTTAATGGAGATTTTTCCATTTTTCTCTTCTTAACTCCATTCATAACCAAGACTAGAGAGAGGTAGGACAGGAAGGATTAGGGGTTTAGGATCAGTAGTGAGTCAAGTTCTCATTTAAAACAAATGATTTTAAGATGATTATTTTTTTTTATACTGGTTCACTTAGCAAAGTTTGTATATATTGTTTTTCACACTGGATCTTTCCCCTTTCCTTCACCCATCCCTTCCTCCACCCACCAAATTGTATGACCCTATGATTAAGCGACCCCCCCATCCTCATCCCTCTGCTTCTCCCCCCTCCACCCCGGATCCTCGTACTCTTTCTATTAAGATTATTTTTATAGATCTTTTTAGTGTTGTAAATGTGAAATATCAACTAACAAGATAATAGGTGAGCGGGGGGTGGGGTGGGGGTGGGGAAGGTATATTTAGAGAGTTTAAATTTCTGGCAGTAAAACAAATGATAACTATACCACTAAAATGGAAATGTTAAAGAGACTGCAGTTTCCTGGATATGAAGGTCATAGCAATAACTGGTCTGGCATATGGATAATTTTTTAATCCTTATCTTTGAATTTAAAATTTTATTTGGAGATTTGAAGAACATATCTGGTTTAGATAAATATGCTTTTCTTGTATTTATTTGCCATCATCTCTAGTTGAGCACACACATTCTTTTTAATCCTACTGTAAAACATTTTTGCCTTTCCTCTTCTGAAATCTGAATGTTTTTCTCATTAACTGGGTCAATTTAAAGCTAGCTTTTTCTTCAAGAAAATTCCTGCTAAAATCCACACCTCTTGACCATTACTTTTAAGAATGTGATAAAAATATTTAAGGCATGAAGTGGAAGAATATGCACACTTAACCATTTTCACATGAAAAATATAAGGGAAGAATATAATATCCCAATTACTCCACTTAAAAATGTACTGACTTAATAAAATTTTTATACATTTTTTTTTTTTTTTACTTTTGTTAGGGATGATGAAACACGTGGTAGAAGATTTTACTACTCTTACTATATAATAGGATCACTAGCTCAAGTATGTTAGAGTTGGTCAGGATGACACAAGATAGGGCAAGATTCAGGTCCATTGTTCGTAGGGTTACTATGAGTTGTAGTTGACTGCACTTTTAACAACAACAACAATAATGATTGTCCTTTTTAGAGTCACTCGGTGGTGTAAATGAGTTACCACACTTGGTGGCTAACCTAAAAGCTTGAGTTGAAGCCCACAAGAGATTCCTTGGAAGAAAACCCTGATACTCTATTTCTGACAAATCAGCCTTTGGAAACCTGAGTGGGCAGAGTGCTCCCCGATACATTAGAACTCACCATCAGTTGGAAAAATTTATCCTTTAGGACTGAAGACTTGTATGTTTTAATCCTCATGTTGTTGTTGTTAGGTGCCTTCCAGTCAGGTTGGTCTCATGACAAGACTGTACTGTGTCATCCTTGTCATCTTTGATACACTTGAGCCCCTTTCTACAGTCACTCCATGCCAATCCATGTCGTGAGGGTCTTCTCTTTCACTGACCTTTCCAAACATAATGTCCTTTTCCAAGGACTGGCCCCTCCTAACAGTATGCTCAAAGTATGTGAGATGAAACTTCACTATCCTTGCCTCCAGTGTGTCTCCTGACTGCACCTTCTCCAAGATGTATTCATCTGTTCTTTTGGCCATCTATGCGGTATTCAGTACTCTTTTTCCAACACCACAACTCAAAGACATTGCATTCTACTTCTGTCATCCTAATTCATTGCCCAACTTTCAGATGTATAACAAGTGATTTAAAACCCTTGGTTTAAGTTAGGTGTACTTTTTTGAACTAACATCATTGCTCCTTAACACTTTGAAAGCAAGTTTTCCCAGTGCAATACATCTTTTGATTTCTTGACTCCTGGTATC